CGCTCGCCTCTCCAACGCAAGGGGCGGTAGGGACAGGTTGCCCTTACCCTCCTCCAGCAGTCTCAGAACCAGCTCTTCTTCTGGGCCGGGACTTGCTCCTCATCAGTTTCCTAGTCCTTTCCTAGACCTTTCCTGGAACCTTCGTGTAGGTACGGCCAGGACCTGCTCCTCATCAACTTCCAGTGCCCTGCAAAGGGCGGCGGCTCCGTCTCGGTCGTGCTCTGGTGGGTCATGACGGAGCGCGCGGCCGAGGACGCGCGCTTCACGGGCCTCTGGCGGCGCTTCATGGACAGCGGCGACGACAAGTGGCGCTGAGCTGCATGAAAAAAAGAAACAAGGCGACGGGCGGTGTTTCTTTTTCTAGGCGACGACAAGTGGCGCGGGCTCCGCCTCAAGATGATCCCGTGCGTCGTCGAGGGCAACTTTTTCGTCAAAAAGCTGCTCGGCGACCGCCCCGTGCTAATCAAGGCCCTCCCGCCGCGGTACCACACCTCCAGAGTGTCGAATCCAGAGTGGGTTCAGGTCCTTGGGTGGTGCGGTAGGCCATCAAGACGCGGTACCACACGGGGCCCGGCTACATCGAGGTTGTCGGCGACATCCTCTCCTCCAAGATGGCGACCAACATGTGGCGCGGCGTCGAGTCTTTCGCCAAGTCGCTCGTCGTCGATTTGGGGTCTGTGCTCGTGCTCCTCATCAACTTCCTAGACTTTTCCTAGACCTTTCCTGGAACCTTCCTGTAGGTTTGTGCTCGAGGCGCAGGCGGAGCAGGAGCTGCCCGAGCGGCTGATGGGCACGGTGCGTTTCCATCGCATCAACCTCCGGAAGGCGGTGCCGCCGCCGACGACGCCCTAGGTCGCCGCCGCAGCGGCTGCCGTCGTGAGCCCGCACAGCAGCGCTGATCTCAATGCTTCCGTCAGCCGCGGCCAGGCAATACGCATTCGATGCCCTTGGCTCGCCCTCACCCCCCGCGGTACACTAGCATTCTGGTAGTATACTCGCCGATGAATGGACCCCTCGCGGTCGCGCCGGCGCTCCGGCTCCACGCCATATACACCATTGGCGCGACGGCGTGCGGTCACCGCACCTGTCTCCCCTGTCCGAGGTGTCCCCGGCTTTGCCGCACCTGAACAGCTTAGTATGTTTTTCGGTTCTGTACTGACCCCGAGTGCGGCGCGGTGCCCTGGGACCCGATGGGCTTTTCGCCGAGTACGGCAAGTTTGGCAGCTTGCCCGCCAAGCTCGCCTGGTAACGGCTACTGTGTCCAGGGCAGGGCGGATAAAAGGATTTTTACAACGGGCGGAGAAAAGAAAAAAGGCTGGGCGCGGCTACTGGAAGGGAGAGGCACTCTCTGGCCTGCAGGTTTGCAGCCTCGGCTAGATGCGCTCGTGGACCGGCATGCGCCACCCCGGTGGACTGGTCCGGAGCCTCCAACACTGCTGGCGTGCGGACAAAGCCGAGACTAGAGCCGAGAAAGTCAGCCAACGAAAAGTTGTGCGCCGCAGGTAGGGTGCCTGCGGCTACCGTGTCCCCGGTGATGTACTTCTTAAACGCACTCTGTATCCATGGCCACGACCCATACTGCGCCGGGCCCGGCATGTAGAAGAGTAGGACAGCCGCGTGCGGACCGACGACGGTGCCGGGCATGGCATGGACGGCATCGTCCCAGGGTAGCGGAGCCCAGGAAGACGGAACGTGCGAACTCGCGCGCGTGCTGTTGAGGCTTTGCTGCCGCTCCTCGCGTGATACACCATGTGGTAGTACTCTCGACGCGCACACTTCGGCGGCCGGCGGAGGCGGATGGTGTTGATCGAGGCGAGGAGACGGGGCTCGTCAGCCCACCGGCGGAGCCACTCGTAGTCGTACTTGATGCCCGGGCTCGAGATGTGGTACCTCGACCCGCGATCGCGGAAAGCGGCCCGCCGCGCGTCATCGGCAGCAGCCCTGGCCCTTTCGCGGTCCTCGGCGCTCTGCCCATCGCCACCGTCTCGCCACCGTCTCGCGCGCAGCCGCCATCCGATGCCCGGGAGGGTATGGGCAGAGAACCTCAGGGA